TTGCTTAAATTGAGAAAAGCAGACAACAGAGAGAGGTTCTTCCTAGAGATAGAGAAACACTTTCAATTTTCATAAAGAAATCTTTGCTCACAGCCAATTTTTCTAAAATTTGACTGGATCTCCTACCACCTCAGCTAACAAGGCCTGAATAGGCAAAATGCTATTTTAGCAACAGTTGCCTGGAGAGGGAATGAAGGGTACAGCTGTGACACTATTAATTTCTACTAAGTCCCTTTGTTTGGACTGTTTTCAGGATATGTATGAACTCCACCATCTCTACCTCACTGATAACAACTTGGACCACATTCCTCTACCACTTCCAGAAAACCTGCGAGCCCTTCATCTCCAGGTAGGCTTCTGACAGTAAGGTGAGCCTCAAAGCTCCATGGAGAAAATCAAATAGAAGGAAGTCAGGACACAAAAATCTGTCCCAAATGGCCTGTTGACATACTCTGATGATTTTTTTTAACTATTTTTTTTCTAGAGAGCACAATTAGAGAAAAAAAGTGTGTCCTACATCTGAACACAAAGTATTTATACATCCATGGTCCTATCTATCCCATTTGATTTCTATGTGGTCCTACTGCTGCTCCTTCTTCTCCTCCTCCTCTTTCTTTTTCCCCAGTACTAAAGCTTGAACCCAAGGATATTTTATCACTGAGCTAAATCTCAGCCTTTTGTTGTTGTTATTATTATTATTTTAAATTTTGAGACAAGGTCTCATTACATTGCTGAGGTTGACCTTGAACAAAGAAATGTGTAAGGATTAGATATGGAAGAGAAAAGAGAGAAAGAAAAATTGAACCTGACTTCTATTTTTCAGGAAAAATGTGAACTTTAGCTTTTAAGTTTAATATCTTATATTAAATACAATCCTGAGGCATTCCCACACACTCAGAAATCACAAACATCCATTTCTCTGCATAAAAAAGAATAGTTGGTTCTTTTCTTTCATTTTTAACTAATGTAATTAAAAGTTTGGATTATTTTTACTCCCATTAAGTTATATTTGATCTTTGAAGGGATGAGTGAAAACACATTTTTAAAACATTATGATCTAATAGTTTCTAAATATATTTCATTTTCATCTAAGTGATTAAAATTTTCTATAATGAAACATTTTTGGTTAAAAATAAATTATTTCTTATTCACATATGACTTCTACTCTACAGTATAATCAACACTCTTTCATAATTTCATCTGTTCCATAGGATAAATGTGCAGAGGAGACATCCATTAAGTGCTCAAATAAATGTCATAGTCCAATATTATAAATTTTTAGCACAAAAAGCATAAACCACTCCAAGTAGAGATTTTGCTATGCAAGAATAAGTGTCTAGTTCTTGTGTTTTTCTCTATGGATTCTATAAATATTTACTTCCATTTCTTTCTTTTTTTTCTATTAATGAATGTTATATATTATATTTGTGTGTTATATATCATATACATATATACTTACATAATCTTTCCACATTTTAGGGTATTTGTGCATATCTGTCTTGGTATTCTATATTTTTCTCTTTTGTCAGTTTGTCTAATAATTTTCTTCTGAAATTTATATCATTTAATGTATATTCTTTCTTGCCCTCATTCTGTTTCTGGATGACTGTACTTTCTTTCTTTCCTTCTTGAAAGGTGTATTTCTGTATATATTAAGAGTTCTTGCTTTGTGATAAAATGTATGATTTTTCAAGGGAAGCCTCAAAATAAATTTTGAATTTTATTTTCCAATTATTAATTAAATATTATTGCTATTGTCTGAGATGATAATGACCCTATAAAGTAATCAAAATCTCTAATGTTATATTTGAATTTAGTGTGCTTATATGTACAAGATGATATGAAGTTTTAAACTATTAGTATTTACTTTCACATTCTTATGTTTGGAAAGGTAAAAGTACACATTTTAAAATATTTCACTATAAAGACTACTTCAGCAACATCAAGAATATAGCTGTTTTTAATTTAGATTACTCTTGTGTCCAATCTACATGCACTTTTAATACTCATAAAAATTATCGTTTGATGCATTTGGAAATGTTTGGTTAGCTGAAAGCATAGTAATTAAAGGTGAAGTTTCTGGCAAAAACATATTTTCTGGGTTGAATTTCAAGTACTAATACTATCTAATATCTGAATTTCTCTGCCTCTGAGTTTTGTTATCTGAAATAGAGATAATATATTGTGTAGGAAGGCTGGGTGGATTAGATAAGATGAAGTTTATAAATTGAGTATTGCAATTACTGGTACATGATTAAAACTTAAATGTGAGGCATAAGTTTTACTTACAACATGTCTATAACCTATCAAAGGGAACAGTAGAACTAACAGACACTAAATCTGTATTATTAGTCATAAATACATTATAACACAAAGTGGTTAATATACTAAGAAGGTATGATGAATCACACATTCACCTAACAAAAGAACCCTAAAATTCATCAAATGATATCTATCAGAAATGAAGACACAAATAGATACTTCAATATTCTACTTTCAACAATGGTAAAACCAACTATCTAGAAGATCAGTAATAAATAGAAGACTTAAGCAACACTAAAAATCAATATGACTAACAGACATTTACAGAACATTCCACCCCATAATATGCATTCTTTTAATGAGGACAAGGAATATATCCTGGGATAAAATACTAACAGACCACAAAATGAGTCTCAATGAATTGAAAAGAATTAAAAATAACACAAAGTATATTTTCTGATTCCAAAGAGTTACATTAAAAACCAATCTCATAGATAACTTGAGAATTTCAGACATCTGGATATGAAATAATATTTTCCTTAAACAATGTTTCAAAAAAGAAATCCTTAGGAAGTTAGGAAAATATCTGAGAAAATAAAAACATAAAAACAACATATTAGAACTTATGGAATGAAGTTAAAGCAGTGCATAAAGGAAAATGTTTAGCCTTGAATTATTATTAAGAAAAACCATCTCTTCCATCTGGAATAAGTAGAGGGAACTGGTCAAAAAAGATGAAAATAACAAGAATTAGAGCAGAAATAAATAAAAAACAGAAAAATAATAGAGAAAATAAACAAAACTAAAAGTTGGAAATGTTTGGTCAGCTGAAAGCATAGTAATTAAAAGTGAAGTTTCTGGCAAAAACATATTTTCTGGGTTGAATTTCAAGTACCAGTACTATCTAATATCTGAACTACAATTATCAAGAAAAATATCTCAAATTAATAAAGTTAGGAATGTAAAAGGAGACACTACTACCAATCTTACAGAAATAGAATAATAGGGAATACTATGAACAACTATAAATGTCAACAGATTGTATCAATAAAATGGAAAAACTCAAAAAAGACACAGAATTGACTAGAGAATAAACAGCAATTCTGAATCAATATATAAAAAGCAAACTATATGAACGCAGCTATTTGTGAAGATTTTCTGAGAAAAGTCCAATCACATATGATTCTGCTGATTAATTGTATCAAGTGCTTAAATAATTAATACCAATATTTTACAAACTATTCCAAATTATAAAAATGAAGAAACATTTCCTGACCCATTCTATGAGGCCAGAGTTACCTGAACAACAAAATCAGTCAAAGATATAATTGGAAAAGAAAAATATAGGCCCATATTCCTTATAAATATAATACAAATATCCTCAGTAAAATATAACAAACAGAATCCACCAAGTGATAAAAATGAATACACAACAAAACTAAGTGGAATGCAAAGTAGTTTTTAAAAATGGAACTATGTAATATACCATATTGATAGAATAAAGGATAAAAGGCACATAATTATTTCAATATATGCATAAAAACCACTTGATAAACTACAGCACCCTTTTATTACAAAATCATTAAAAAACTTCTAGGAATAGAACTTCCTCAATTAAATAAAGAACATCTGTAAAAAAAATCCCACAGCTAACATTATATTTGATGGAGAAATACTGAATATATCTCCCCTAAGATTAGAAACAAGAGAAGTTTAAAATACTGTTTAATCTCTCTACTTCTATTCAACATGTACCTCGAACATGGGCTAGACCAATGAAGAAAAACATCTACAAGAAATGAGTAAAATGCCATTCATATTAGAAATGAAATAGTTTTGCTATTTTCAAATAACATGACCTTTTACACAGAAAATCCTAAGGAATCCAATAAAAATTGAACTAGAAAATGAGTTCAGTAGAGTGGCAAGTTATAAGATCAACATAAAATATCAATTGTTTTTCTGTAGAGAAGCAATAAATAATCTGAAAGTGAAATTAAGAAACATCTGTTTATAATAACCACAATTTTAATTACCTAAAAATAAATATAAAAAAGAAGTACAAACCATGTCATGTTAAAATTATAACACATTGTTGGAAGTAAAATGATTCAAGTATAAATGGGCCTATATTGGTGGATCAGAGGATTTAATATTAAGATGAAAATGCTCCCCAAATTGGGCAACAGATTTTGAATTCAACAAATCCTTATAAATCTACTAAACCTTTGACAAATAAAGTATTTCTGCAACACGTTTTAAAATCTACACATACACACACACACACACATACACACACACACACACACACATTTATTTTTAAATCTTGAAAATGTTTTTAAATTTGTTTGAAGTGGTGGTTGTGAAACTTTGTGAATATATTAAAGATCATACAAGTGAACATTTTAAGTGTAGATAATATGAAATACATTCAATAAAACTATTTTAAAAACTCAGTCCTGGGCCCTAAGCATCCTCCTGTTATTTTCTTTCCCATTCCTTTACTTACCTTCAGCCCAGCTGACTTAAAGGTAAAATGCTAAGAATAACATTCCATGCTGCCTCCTCAGGATTTTGAACTTCATATTCTCTTGAATTTCCTTTGCTTGGTTCCTCCTGTGTCTGCTAGTCATTCTATTCTCAGTTCAATTGATACTTCTGAGAATATATTTTTCTCCTTTCTTCATAGTACTCATCATTTTGGGAAAAAAACCTTTTATTTAAAAATTTGCTCTTACCTACTTATAGCATCCTTTTTAAAGTATAAGTTCCATGAGGACAAGAGAATATCTCCTTTGTTATTTGATGCATCCTCATTCCTTAGAAAGTGCTTGTATATAGTAACTGTATAATATGTACATTTTACTGAGGGAAGGAACAGAATAAAAACAAAGGTGAGGTAAAATAGACTATGATATCAATCAATACTAATAATATGCAATATATTATTTTATTTTCATCTTTTTAGAATAATAACATTCTGGAGATGCATGAAGATACCTTCTGCAATGTTAAAAATCTGACTTACATTCGTAAGGCACTAGAGGACATTCGGTTGGATGGAAACCCTATCAACCTGAGCAGAACTCCTCAGGCATACATGTGTCTACCTCGTTTGCCCATCGGGAGCCTTGTGTGATTTCAGATAATCATTATGATGCTCACCACAACAAAATATTTTTTTCTGCTTTCTTCAGAAACAAAGCTCAGCATGAAACTTTCAAATTGCATTCCAAAAGCTGATATGATTACACAAAATGCAACTCAAAGTGTTAATAAATATATGATGAAAATTTAGTAATTTAAGAAAACATCAGATAAGGAATAAACCTACAAACTATTCAGAAAGAGCAAAACTAAATGACGGAACCAATTTTATAGATATTCTTAAAAATCAATTATAACTTGCAAGTGTTAGGAATGCATATGTTAATTCAAAATTAAGTATATAATAAAGAAAATTTTTAAATTGAACATTAGCTATTTAGCTAGAATTTAGATGTTTTTTCATTAAACTCTTCTATTCCTTTTTTAGTTTTCACTAACACATACTTTCTCCTATTTTGTTAAAGAGCATAAAGAAAAATAATAAATATGTTTGAAAATTACAGTGGCCTTGTGGGAAAATAGCTGTTGTACTCCAATTATATACATAAATAATACATATAACTCCAGTTTTTGAATGATGATATTTTCATTCAAATTTTCTGTTAAGTCCTTTTAGACTTTTGCCCACATGACTGGTTATTTGGTCTATTTCTGTGTCTGCAAAAAAGTAAAATATAGAAAATGAAAAAGAGATGATAATCACACCAGGAAATAAGGAATACTTTATGAGTTGAGCTTCCATAAAATGTAGAATATAGGAACCTGTATCTGAAACACAACAAAATGATATCTATAAAGTGTGAGCTTCCTTTCAGCTGCAAAATACTAAGTTCCACTCACTGAAAATAATGTCTTCTTGATTCCTTATAAAGTTTTCCCTGAGAAACAAAAACTTATATAGGAGTAATATCTTCATTTGTACACAAATAGATATGTGTATGTGCCACTTGAATATACATATATCCACGGCACATGTGTGTGTATGTGTGTGTGTGTGTGTGTGTGTGTGTGTGTGTATGAAAGCATGCATTTAAAGTACAAGAGATACTAACTACTAACTATTCTGAACCTTGTTATTTTCATTTTAAAATAGTTCTTGGTGATATTTCCATATCAGCAGGACTCTACTGATTCTGAAAACTATACATAATTCCATTACAGAAATATATGTATTTGCACTTAAAACAATCAAAACTGTCAAAATTCTCTTTGCTTAAACATAAATGATGCCGAATGCCAATGTCTTGGCTTGGCACAGAATCACCAGCCACCACACACCTTTGTAGGTTCAAACAGCTTTATTCCCGCTCTCACACTGCCTCCACACAGGTCCAGGGGCAATCCCCTTCTGCTGTCTGCCCGCACAATTCACCTACTCCAGGAGGCTATCTCCAAATCCCATTTTAATCTCAATGGGAACAAGCAGCAGGAACACCCTAATCCCAGCAATAATCTTCAACCTCCAACTTCCCTAAAACCCCTTGTCTTAAACTGGCAACGCCTTAAACTCAAGGAGCCGGTTACTTCCTCAAACCTGATCAGCTCTAAACCTGGATCTGCCTTGGTCCTTGAGCAAGGTCACCTTATTAAAGCATGCATGCAATGTCCCATCAAATGTCCTCTAAGCAGCATGGGGTACGCTTGGCAAGGAAATTTCGATGCGTCATTCCTACTTGACAATGGCCCTCAGCAAATAATTTTGTGTACATGTAAGAATACATAAAGTAGAATTTGGAGTCAAATATTATTATCTTACATTTTAACAAGTGTTACTAAATTTCCTTTAAAATATTACACCCACATTTTCATCTACAGTGTGGGAATGATACCTGATTCTGTACTACCTTACTATAATAGTTTAATATCAAACTATTCTACCACTGCATAATCTATTTCTGAATTAATACATTATAGTTAAAATGAGATAATTATCAGTACCTTCAAACATTTAAAAATACCCTATTTTTTTCAATTATCTCTTTTTCAATCAATTACTTTTCAAAATCTAAATTATCTGAATTTTTTCTTATTGCTCAACATCATTTGTTGTATGTCATTATTTATAGTTACTGGAGCTAAATCCAAAATTTCTATAATGTAACAACAATTAGAGAATACTCCTCTAACATACATCCACTTTAGGTATATAGATATTTTTTTGATTCACTCTAAAAGTATGGTACCAATATGTGTCTAATAATGAAAAAGTATGTGATAAATTTTCTTGAGCCCTAGGGAGGAAAAGTAATCATGACTTTTTTTTAAAGAGAGAGAGAGAGAGAGAGAAGAGAGAGAGAGAATTTTTTAATATTTATTTTTCAGTTTGCGGTGGACACACATCTTTTATTTATTTTTATGTGGTGTTGAGGATCAAACCCAGCGCCTCGTGCATGCCAGGCAAGCACGTTACCGCTTGAGCCACATCCCCAGCCCAATCATGACTTTAATCAGACTTTGAATACCCCCCAAACTGAACATCTTAACCATCCAAACATCAAGTACCACAAACCAGTGACATTTAAAAACTGATTTTTTGCTTTTAGATACACATCCTCATAGCTACATTACTATGAACCATACTAAAAGGGAATTTATTTTAAATTCCGTCAAGAATTATAAATAGCAAAATTATATATATGTTATATGTTATATAACAAAAAGTACAACAAAACTCTTGGCTTAAACTACACCCATTTATTATCTGACACTTCTCTTGATTGAAGTTCCATATGACTTGCATAAGTTCTCTACTTGGGAATTTATCACACAGAAATGCAAGTGTCCTTGGCTGAGCTCTTACTTGAAGATATGGAATCAATCCACATCCAAACTCATTTAAAAGGCTGGAAGAATTTGTTCCTGTGGTTGTAGGACTGAGGTTCCTAATTCCTGGCTATCAGCCAAAGGCACTTCCCATCTTCTAGAGGACACACCCATCCCTCATTACAAGGTAACTTCCATCTTCAAAATCTAATAATAGCACTTTGAATCTTACTTGGCTTTCTAATCTCTCTGATTTGTTCTTCTTTTTTATTCAAAGACAAAATCTTTCTTTAAAGTTCTCATTTGTTAGGGTCACACCTACCTGTTTAACCTTCATACTTAAGGTCAACTGCTTTGGGACTTTATATCTGCAAAAAAAATTTTAAGAATACTTTGATGAATGTTTGAATATCAGAGGTCAGGAATCCTAAATAGCCATCTTTAAAATTTTGCTTATCATATCTCCAATCCTAGTAGTAGTAGTAAGCAAATGGTAACTCCCCATGGGTGATGACTTCTTTCTCTATCCTTAAATCTTCCTAGAAATGCACAGAAAATATCAGTGGTAGCAATGTCAATAATAAGGAACATTGGTAACATTTAATGAATCAAGTTTATGTCTCTGAAGAGGAAATAGTTATTCTTTAGTCATGTCTCCATGTGGACAAGAAAACAGACAATATCACAGACTTCTAGATGGGTTGTGCCAGTGAGGGAGCCACATGGGTGATTAGATTTTGACTAATTTGCTAATGTTTAAGAAAAATAATTACAATGATCCTTAGAAAAATAGTTACTTTAAACATATACATAAATTTTAACCAGAACTGTCTTACATGTTATTTTTGCTTGCATATATGGGAAATGCTGAGGAAAGTAATACAGGAGAAAGAAAAATCATCTGCTAGATTTAATTCATGCATTTTCATGAGTTAAATGATTAACACTGCCAGTGGTTAATAGTTTACAAGATGTCCATAGAGCTGTTATGACAACTTTGTATGATGTTATATAAAATACTAAGAGCCACAGCACATCATTACTATAAAATAGAAGATGGTAAAATACAAGAGACCATAAAAGTGATACATATTTCAGTGAATAGTGACAGAAAATCACTTTTAGATCTAGAGTTTAACTCTGAAGGATACTAAATGTTGTTTTAAAGTTAGTGCCTCTTGACCCACATTGTTATAATAGCAATCAATTATCAGATTCAACTACACGCCAGGCATTCTGCTTAAGTGTTCATCCTAAGGGTTGGGGAAAATCAAATCACAGATCAAATAAGTGTCCTGGGTCATGGTGTTACCCTTGTTTACCAGTGAGTCCTTGCTTCCCCAATGTTGAAGTATAACACCAGAGAAGCACGCAGAGGTAAGTATAGAGTGGAAAGTAGAAGCTTTATTAAGGACAGCTGAAAAGACTTCTCCTGGAGGAAGCAGGGGATCCAAGAAGTGGAATCCATGGAAAGGGGATGTCGCCCCTCTTTTATAGCTAAGGTCTTCTTTCAGCTTTCCCACATTCCTGTCCTCCTTCTGTTATCTTTCAGTGATGGAATGTAGGTGGGAAGGCCCAAAGGATGGGGCACAGGTGGGCCAAAGGAGTAATCTGGGCAGGAAGGACTTTTGGATTAGCATCTCGGCTTTTGCTGGGAACTGTTTCATTAACATTTCTTTGGGATGGGCTCTGGGCCTTGGGGATATTAACATTCCAAGAGTTGTTCTGCTTTTCCTGGACTCCATTCTCAGCATGGCCTTCATTTTACTTTGATATTAGACCCGATTTACCTAACTACACTGACTACCTGTATTTAAATCTGGCTTCAATGGGAAGCCCCCTAAATTCTGTCCGACTCCATCCCATTGTTGTGCTTAAAAACTATAGTCTCACCTTTGTCCTGTTTTATAATATTAGAAAATGGTGTACAGATTGGATGGAGCTACAAATATCAGCATGGTCTTTCTTTGTGAATGGTGACTTCCAAATTACCAAAAGCTTCCTTTGAAGCTTTTTCACAATGGAAAAACCATTTCTGGGAGCCACAGTAGTTGTGTATAATGCTGACTTCCAGAAAATCAGTAGGAAGATGGATTAACATCTTCCAGGCTCAGAGGAAGCATCTAGAAGCCTTCGTTAGCTTATTCTTTAGGCACAGTAGTACAATAGCTCACAGTAATTTCAGGGGAACAATGGAGATGTTCGATATTTTTAAAGCAAAAAGAGAACATGGAAATAATTATATTATTGTTATATATAATAATTTAATTTGGATTATACACTTTATAATAATAAACAATAAAATATATAATTATTTTTTTATTTTTATAAAGGAAGAAGCCCATGGAAATCATAATGAGGCTTGGCCTGCAAAAACATTACTGATGATATCAGGTCTTCCCCCAAATGCTGCAGAATATGTTTCTATCCTCATAGCCTCATCAGTATGATATTATTACAAGATCAAGGGTATTTGTACCAAAAAATAAAATACTGGTATAAAAAGGACATTCTTATGTAAACATGACAGTGCTAGTTGACATTTACATAGGCACTGTGATTACACACTCACAAGGCTACTTTGCAGTTGCTGTTTACCAAGAACTGTAGAAGGGAGAAGTGCTTATTTAAAGCCTTGAAATGAAATGACTGTATTTTAGCAATCTTTCTAACTAATCATATTTAAGTGGCCATTTCAAACATATCACATTGTTCCTTGACAGCTCTAACTTTACAACTGACCTCTAAGCAAACCACAATGTATGTGTCTTAATAATACTATTTCTTGCCCTAAATTGCTACATGTCAGTTTTCCTTTATACATTGCAGACTTTTTTCCCAAGGGGAGGAGGTGCATTCTACAGCTCTGGAATATTTTATACTTTAAAATTAAGCAAACTTGTCCAGGTTACAATTCCTATCTAATCATTACTGAGTACACGTGGTTTGAGGTGTTATAACTAGTGTAATTTTTGACAGTTCTCTGAAAATCTTGAGTGGCTGTAGGCTTACTAATATCAGAAGGTGCCAGCAAATAGTACCTACACACAGTAATATGATGAGTTTAAAATTGACCTCTTCATTTTTCTTTAAAGGTGTCAAAACACACTCTTTGTAATTATCACAAAGTTAACTTTCTCTTCAAAATTTTCTTAAAATGATTTGATGTTTCATTAGTGGGAAATATCATAATAGTGTTCCCTGATAGAAAAAACACTTCATAGTATTGCAAACTAGCCCCTCTACTTCCCAAATTAACAAGAGAAAGAAATGGGAAATTTTGAAATTCCTTAGCTTACCTTTGAAAAGCTAGAAAAACTTACTATCTTGCACCTAGTCTCTGTGACCACAAGATGGGGCCAACTTTTTTGAAATTCCTGTATGGGGTTGTCTTTGCAGAGGAAAAAGGTAAGCCTCTGACCATGCATAATATGCTCTAATCACTTATTTATATTTGTTTCACATAGAGCAGCATTAGTTGCATAGATTGATCTAAAAATTATTTATCGAATTTCATTATCTAACAAAATATATCACTTATACCAAATTTCTTTCTGAAGAATTAGTTTCTTTCAAAGTCAAATTTAAAATGCATAAATCTAATAGGTATACCCAATTCCACTTTGCCGTAAGAATGATGATTAGTATTGTTCATATAGAATATTTAAAAAATGGAATTTGTGATAAAATTTTTCAGTGAGGAGTTCACTTCTCATAGTTTGCTTTGGGTATGATGCTTACAGACTAAATTTTGACTGAGCTACTACTGCCACCAAGTGTTTGAATTTTTTCAAGTCACATAAATGAAAAAAAAAAGAAAAGAAAGAAAGAAAGAAAAAAAGAAAGTAAGACCACACCAAGATTATAATGTTTTTAACTTATATGAACTTAATGCTCTCTTTTGCATATCATAAAGCCTAGTATAACCTATATCAACATATAGCATTTACTGGAATTTCACAATGCCAACATTATTAAAAGTTTCCAAATAAATTGCTGATTGGGAGCTATAAAGGATATATTTTAGACATTTTACTGGATTTACTTTACATATATGGCAAACTGACTAGAAGTTCCCCCCTAATAATTTTCTGCTTTCCAGTGTTTATAACTTTGTGTTTCCCAGCAATCACCCATCCCACCTTTTGTGCTGGATTCTCTGAGCCTTCTTTTGAACCAAAAGAATGGTAAAGATGATGAATGGCATAAATGTCACATCCATGATTATGATAAACACATACACAGTATCTATGTGTGCATCTCCATCTGACTAAGAACAACTAGGGAAATACTCTTTCTGGGCTTGATGTAGTACATCTGTGTTAAAGAAGCCTATGGAAAGGAACTATGGGCAATATCAAGAATCTAACTTTGATCTCTTGTAGGTGGCCTCTGCATCTTAAAGGTGGCTTTCAGCCAACAGACAGCAAAAAGGAAGGGCCCTCATCATAGATCCACAAGTAAATGAATTCTCCTTTAACATGAATGATCTTGGGAGTAGATTTTCCCAAACTGTGCCTCTGGAAGAGAACCTGAAATAGCCAACACCTTGATTACAGCTTGTATGAGATCCTGAGTAGAGGGCTTGGCTAAGCTATTCTTGGTCCTCTGGGAAGGAAGAGATAAACAATGAATGTTGTTTTAAGCAACTAAGTTTATGGTAATTTTTAACGCAGCAACAGAAAACTAATACATAATATATATATAAAAATATAGGTCAATTAAAAGTGTGTCTTTAAAAATTCTTCAATTGGATTTCTGTTATATTTAACATACTCTGGTGGTAAACTGTGGTATAGCAGAGCATTAAAAAAATCTGTAGTATAATCCCAATCTTACAAAAATGTAAAAACTATAAATCACATCTGATTCACATAAGAAGAGTTGAGTAAGACAATATTGATTTTAATAGGTAAAATGAATAAGAAAGATAAGCCAATATTGCATGTAGAAAAGTCAGCTGAGCAAAACATGATGCACTTAATCATCTGTAAAATCAATCATAATTGTTTTAATATTTTGTAGTTGTCAATGGATCTTTTATTTTATTTATTTAACTATCTATTTATCTATCTTTCTATTTATATTTATATGTAGGGCTGAGGATTGAACCCAGGGCCTCACACATGCCAGGCAAGCTTTCTACCACTAAGCCACAACTCCAGGCACCTAATCATCATTTTTAAAAAACAAAAAGAGAATAATGAGAATTTCATTACAGTAATATGGTCAATTTCTTAAAGGTCTCAATTAAAACTCCTATAGTATGACATATGTCCTTAGAAAAATAAGCCCAGAAACCACAATTCATTTTGAGGTAAGTAGAGCAGGTATGAGTCTGCATTTAGAAGGGGTCGCTGGAGGCTACCAATGTCAGCACTCTGTATTTTGAGTCAAGAAGTTTTATCTTCAGCAAACCAAAGAGCAAGTGCAATTGAGTGAAGCCTGTGGAGTCCAGAGGTCCCAAGGTAACTCTGGACTCCTGATCCATGAACCCCCATACTGTTCTAAGTTTCCAGCCAGCAATTCATAAATAACCTTTGCAAGCTTCAGGACTTTCACATTTTGCTTCCCTGGGATTTAATGGTGGAAGTAATCAGTTTTCTATTTTTCACGATTTTATACACTACAGAAAAGTAATAAAGGGAAGTAAATACTCTGGGTTGGTTTTCTCTAGGATTACAATTAGTGAGCCTTGATATTTCTACAAAGTGGGACAAGAAAAGAACACAGGGTGGTAGGGATGCCTATTGTTACATCATCCACAAAAATACATGTTCTTACATATACTGAAGTAGCCCTGAAGTAGTTAAGTATAGTAATGATGATAACTAAGTAATGAAGTATTCATGGATTATACGAAGTTCTTTAACGAAATACCTTATTTAATCCTTCACACAATCCTGTTAATATAACAGAACCAGACTAATGGTATGGGTAAAGAACCTGAGCCTTAGGAAGGTGAGCTGAAGTTGAATTACATCTAGCTAAATCAAAACTCATATGCTTAACGATAATACTTCTAAAGCTCCCAAAGTATGCTATAAGATCAGTGAAGAGACAAACGGAAAAGACATAATCAGAATATTCCTATTCTCAAGAACAAACCCATGAGGTAACAATGTTTCTTTAGTCAACGTATGCATATGGTATGTTACAATTAGCAAAATACTTTCCAGTACGTTTTACATTTACTTTCACAAGAATCCTATTTAAGTTGGGTTGGTAGTATAGCCATGTCATTAAGAACTCCGAGTTAAATTTAGTCTTAAATACTATCCCTGAAGTTCATTAGCCCCACAACCTGGGTAAAATACCCCTCAGTTCCCTAATCTTTGAAATGTGGTAACAATGTATCAGAAGACAAGAAGATTAAGTGCCATAAGCACACCTGCACTCAGTTCACACACTCAGTACATGTTTGTAATCTGTTCAAATATGATGAATCCCGAACCCCCAAAAGATGTAAAAATATTTATTTGTCTATACCCGAGTTCTCCCACCCTTGCCCAGGTTCAGTTGAAAGTCCATCTTCCACATCCCTGATCCGCAAGATGATACAAAAGGATCAAACAAACTCCCTAAAGTGTTGCTTGGGTTGGGCAGCATAAAACCAGTCCCAGCCTCTCTCCCCACACCCCTCAAAAACTGCGTCACAAGCCCCTTGCGAATGTTCAAGGCACACCTAGTCCAGGCCGGAACCCCGCCTCCACACGCAGGGATGGCCCTCTCGATCCCGATTGGCTGTCGTCCTGGGCAACCGAGGACGCGGTGGGCACGTGAGGGCCCCCCAGCCGGTATTTAAAGGCTGGGGCTGGCTGTGGCCTCTCAGTCCGGCCAGGACCGCGACGGTGAAGCACCTGGGTTGAGAGGGAGTGGCAAGGTAACGCGCAACCACTAGCTCCCCCGTCCCCAGCCCAGGCCTCTGCTGAGGCGGGTGTGTGTTGGGACCCGGGAGCAGCTCTCACTGCGTGTCGCCAACCAACACCTTCCTCCCCCACCATCCTTACCCAGCCCCAGTCCCACTCAACCCACCTGGGCAAGACAACCCAGGTGCGAAGGACAAGAGATATCTACGAGCAAGCGGTGAAGAGGGGGGGCCTCCTGGAAAGAGACGAAGGCAGGATTCCAGCCACAGGCATGTGGTCATCCTCAGACACAAGCTGAGGAGGTTCTTCAAACCATCGGATCTGGCCAAACTTGACAGCTTCTAGGACGCTACTATTTAGACCTCTTGGGGGCTCCCTGAACCATGACCCAGACCCTCTACAACAAGGAGGACCCTCTTAATCTGGGCGGCGGCTGGTCATCCTCTGCCCCCTTACACACCTGGTCATCCTGCCATGGAAGGCGCCGAGGCGCTCCGATTTACAAGCGGCGGTACCGCTATGGCCCCAAGGCCGAGTATGAGCCTCCCAGGAAAAAGCCCAAGCAGCACTACGGTCCAGGCCCGTGGTTCCAACCTCCCCGACGGCCCTGCTGGGCCGTGTACTCCAACTGGGGGCGTTGCGGAGGGCCCTGGTGCCCACCTCCCGCAGGATTCCGGAAGCCCCCCTACCAGATGCACATGATCCGGGTGTATGGTCTGCACCCACTCTGCCCTTGCTGCTGCTCTTGCTGGCGTGGGCCCTGGAATCCAGGCTGGGCAAGGCCTCCAGGCAGGAAGAAGCGCTGGGGCCGCAGGGGCCGCGGCCTACGCCGCCACCCTCGCCGCTCCTCCCCAAAGAGCCCGCCGGCCGATGCGAGCACTTTGCTGCGGCCTGTCAACCTGTATGGGTGGCGCGCGCCAGGTATGAGAGCGCCACGGAACACCACCCAGTTCATTATGAACCAGATCTACGAGGACATGCGGCAGCAAGAGAAGATGAAGCGCCAGCAGGAGGCGCTACGAGTGCAGCAAGCCCAGGCTGAAGGCTTGGCGTCCCCGGCCGGCTCCACCGGAAATGACGCGCCCCCTAGCGGCGGTGAGGAGGACTTGGAGCTGCAGGAAACTTTGTATAGCTTCATGCAGAATCCCTCTCTAGTCTTCAGTCCTGCCCCAGAGGAGGAAAAGCAGTCTCCCAACGCGCAGCTGGTGGAGGAAGAGGAAGAGGAAAAAATTGAGGATGAGGAGAAAATTGAGGATGAGGAGGAGTGTGATGAGGAGCTGTGTGATGGAAAGGAGGAGGAGGGTAGTGAAGAGGAGGAAGAGGAAGAGGAGGCGGAGAATGGAGAGACAGAAGAAGAGGTGGATGAGGAGGAGGTGGATGAGGCTGAACAAGGAGAGGAGGATGAAGAGGAGGGAATGGAAGAGGAGGGCCTGGAGGAGGAGGAAGAGCAGAGAGAGGATGAAAATCACTTGCCTCTGGAAATGCCTTTGTCAATCCTAGTAGGGGAAGAAGAAGAAAGAAAGAATTTTATAGACTATACTTATTTAAGCACAGAACAGATTATTCCCAAAGTGCCACAGGAAGCTCTCTTCACGGTACAAGACATTAACCACTAGACATCTGGAAGGGAATTGAGGAATGGGATGGAACTAAATTTTGAGGCTAAGATCGATTAGCAACTTTTTAAAAACTAATTTAAAAGTGAGTTCCATTAATAAACATATCTATGTAAACCCCTTCTTTGGCCACTATAAAATGCTTAAACATTGGTGTGTTGGTGTATGACTATGGGTGGGGGTGGGGAGCTTTCAAATATTTTATTGCAAGTGATTAAAGGCCAAATATTTTATTGCTACAGTTTGAATAGTTTCATTTGCTCTTTTCTCCTCTAGACAATTGTGCTTTTGTTATGGCAATGCTGATCTGATTCATGTAATTTAATGACCTTGGTATCAACAGATATTTCGACTGTTATGTGGTTAAGCACATAAGATGGCTATTGAATGTCTACTTGTGCTCTTAAAGACATTTTACCCTATTTTTCTACCTTCAGAGTTCACTTTTGAGGGTTGTATTTTGGTAACCCCATTTTCAGTCATTTGTGGCATTGCTCATTTATATTCCTTATTCCACAGTGCTATGGATCTTCCTCAGAAGAACATGAAGTTGCTTCTGTGGAACTGGTTATCTGCCATGGCCTCAACAATCCATAATCCATGCATGGAGAGGATTCCCCATGGTCAGAAGTCAACTTGCACATCTAGTTAAAATCCAAGGTAACTGCAAACAATGGAACATAGCTTTGGTTTTGAAACCTTGTTCCTGGATATATTCCTTGCCTAAGTCCAGAGGAATCATAAAACTAGTTTTGTGCAGAATGGATTTATAAGAAAAGATTATTGACCTTTTGGGGGTGGAATACCTTATTTTGTTTCCCAGTTTAAAAAAAATGATGTGTAAAATGAGACTTGTATGAGCTAGATTCTGATATCTAACAATTACTTGTGAAGAATATATCATAAAGATATCTTTAGCCCAAACACTTGTAGGAAGTAACACATTTCTTCTTAGACACTTAATAAAATGTTCTATCCATAGCATATTTCCAGAATATCCCTTGATGAAGAATTTGAACCTGCCTTCTCCAAAATACCATGATGAACTATGCTGCTTAGTTGGAACCACATTTAATTGCTGGTTAAAGAGAAGACTACATTGATATTTACCAAATGTTGATTTTCATTCATATATTTCACTTTTTTGCAGCTTTCAAGATAACAAAGTAAGCTGTTGAATAAAAATAAAGTACATATTCTCATTTATTTTATCAAAAATCTATGTAGCAGTGCTTCGGTATCCAACAGGATGAACAAAAGAAATGAAATTAAAATAGGAATTTTACAATTGCACTAAATATTCCAAATTAAAGCAGTTGATGACCAGTTATATTTTCCAATGTTCAGTTTTTCAATGACCATCAAAGGTGCCTTTCTATTACTGTTAAAATATATACAAATAGAGGCAATCCAAGAATGATGCTACTGATAATACTGGTCAATAAATCCTAACAAATATTCAAAACACCAAAATAATCACTAGGTTAAATGTAAGTATGTTCTTATGAAGCCCTTTCATTTATGATTGAATTTCTTTTTCTTAACAGTCACATGTAGACAATTCAGTTTCTTTTGGCAAAAGATTCCACTTTAAAAAATGTAAAAATATAACAAAGCATTTTCGTTATTCGTTATAAGGGATATAAACATTAACAATGCCGCAGGATTTTACACTTTTTACCATTGACCATGATTGACATATATGGAACTGCTAGGGACCAAGTACTATGAATAGTGATAAGGAAAAACGGTAAAACAACAAAATTCCTCAGGTTTTAATAAAAAGGAGAGACATTAAAATAAGACAAATTGGCTTTTGCAATAATTCTGAAGCAAACCACTATGAAAGCATAAATCACAGGGAATCCAACAATGCGTCTGGGATGTCTACTTTGTGGGAAGAGGGAGCACTGAATCTAAAGGTCAAGAGCTGGGGGAGAGTGGGGGGCATTGAGGAATTGAAGACAGAAAGACTAGAGTCTCTGGAAGGAGCAGCCAATGAAAAGAGGTAGGCAGAAGCCATATCTTCTCATTCCTGTGCTACTCATGCCTTCTGAAATAGACACTCGCAAAAATTAAAGAAGTCATTGATATTGTTATGGTCCCTTTCCTGATCCTATGGAGTATGAAATGATTAAATCATGTTGAAGGGTTAAGAGTGTTTTAATCAATTTTGCATCTTTGTGATCAAAATACCTGACAAGAACAACTTGGAGGAGGAAAAGTTTATTTTGGTTCACGGCTTCAGAAGTCTCATTTCACGGTTTTTAGTTCTAAGGCAGAAGCATCATGGCAAAAGGACACCACAGAGGAAAGCTTCTCGGCTCCTGATAGCTGGGAAGCAGAGAATCTCCAAGGCCACACCTTCAGTGACCTACCTCCTCAGCCAAGACCCGCTTGCCTATAGTTTTTAAATCTCCCAGTTAATCCATTTAATTTACTAATCCATCAAATGGATTGACCTAGTGATGAGGTCAGAGTAGAGCACTCACAACTGAGTAATTTCACCTCTGAATATTGCTGCATTGCACAGCACATGAGCTTTGGGAGCACATTCCAGATCCAAATCAGAACATAGGAACTGGCATTTTAGTATCCCCATCATTACCCTTCTCAGTTACTTTCTCTCCCACTATCTTTAGGGATCCTAGGGTTTGTTGCTTAGCATGATTGGAACACTTAGTTCTTAGCTCCTAGTGAGAACTCTGCAAAGCTTATTTGGTACAAATAAGTATTAGTATGGGTTCAGGATAAACCCAGTCTTTAGTTTTAGAGGTAAGTATCCTCTTGAAGAAAGTTTTCCAAAAGAATCTTATTATTCTTAAAGTCATTCAAAAGTCGATGGTGTGGATACAGTAATACAGAGGTACCACTTAAAAAAATTATTTGTCAAATATCAAAAAATAAGGTTTAGAAGGCCTAAAATAGATAAGCATTTTTGCTACTTATCTGAGGGTTTTTGTTTTCTTGTGACTGACAGCATTTTTTTAAAAAAAATTTACCTTCTTTACTTTGTCTCCACAGTAACTTGCATTTTTTTTTCTGTGAAAATATTAACTCTCTAAAGATGGTAAATATAGTTGACATTTAGAGATCAAAATTGATCTCTAAATATGATTTCATAAAATTTTATAACATCTGTAAATAAAGAAGACAGTATTTCTATCTTATTTAGTGCCATTAAAATAACCTAGTCTCTTGCCAGCTATACTAACAGTACAAATCTGGGAAATAGATGATATAAACTTCACCTCAAAGGTAATTTTGAGTCAGACTAAGTAAGATGAAGGAAACAGTTTCCTTAAATGTTTTATGCTGTTTTAGTAGTGCATTCAGCTATGTTGTTGGATATCACACAGATTTGTATTAATGTAAAACAATTTTAATGCTTCTGAATCTCTTAGGCCTTGATTTTCAGTGTATTATCAAAATCAAAGTGTGGCTGTGTTTTAGCTACTTTGGTAATAGCATTTTTCCCCCTGTATTTCCTTAGTTTTAGATAGTTGAAAGTTCAATATCAAGGTTGGCTGATGGAAGAGAAGGATTTGATCATGTGATTTGATCATGTGATAGGAAGACCAGGATGTGTATTGCACTGCTGACCAAGTGCCCTGTGGCAGAGTCTGTTTCCTCTCACGTAACAACACTTCATTATCACTTGGGTCTGTGTCAAGACCAGATAACCAATATTGATGAAGAACTGTACTACTGTCTATAAATCAGTGTTAATCATTATTTTCTGAATTGCATTTTATAATAAATTATCTCAATTAAATTTTGAGAACAAGATCAATTTAGATTCAATAACTCTGCCTAGGAAATCTCATCTCATTGCAATTCTATTGGACTGAAATATTCAGATATTTTTGTGAAAACCCTGAACTAAGCATGAACCCTGAAATTTAGTTTTATTTCTGGTAAAATTGTACAAATGCAGTCAGGGTCCTACTGCTTTGATGCTTAAAGGTAAGGTCCACAAACCAGCAGAATTTGTACCACCTGAGAAATTACTGAAGTTTAGGTTCACCAGTCCTATTGCATTAGGATATGATTTGTAACTGTCTCTAAGAGACAGGCATGCCACTGAAGATCTAAAAAACATGATTTACAGTTAAATCTATTATAGAAATCTCATGAGAATTTAATGATTAAGATGGTAGTTTGTGCATTCAAGATTCTGTCATTTACAACCTGTGTGACCTCAAGGATATTACCCCAATTCTTTTCTTTGCATTTTGTTTTCATCTAATGTAGTATCTACAACATGAGAATAAATGAGATTATAAAAACTAAATGAGCAGATACTTACCAAGGACTCAGAAGAGTGATATTCAAGAGTTTTTAGTTAAAAGTATTCAGTAAATGCACAAATGTATATTGATATGTGGTGCCTAAATGTTATTTGTTAGTGACTATAAATGACTATATAGCAACTATAAATGAGAAATCTCTCAAAATAATTAACACCATTACTTATGAACTCTACTGTTTTCCCTGGGATAATTGCAGTCAGATACATCATTTTGAGCTACATCAAACTATGAGAAACAATTAAGTTTCTAGAGCTGGACTCTTTTATGTCTTTCAAAACACCCCATCATTCTTGCCTTCAGGTCAATTAAGTGTCCTTTATTCTTATAGCTGACAGCTGACATTAATGTCCTAATGGCTGGTGCTAAGAGTTATAATTTTCCCCCAATAAGCAGTGAATACTAGAATTTAGTTTTTCAAAATTGAAATGCATGCGAAATGCATGCATCTATCTGTAATACTTAAAGAAATCATGTATTAGAGGTTAATATATGCAAGTCCTAAGAAGACAATCATTGATATTTATGTATATGTGTATCAATATACATATATTTGGTTGATAAAAATTCCTAAGTGGAATAAATTGGTTTAATTGTGGTACTTGTTATATATTAAAAAAAGTAAAATCAGAATTTTACGTTAGGGAAGTAATGATAAGAATTTATAGGCAATTTATAAATATATAACTGGATATGATTAATATTACAAATTAATTAAAAATTATAGTAATATAATTATAAACATATACATATAAAGGCAAAATGATGTTAAATACCTGCCATAAGTCATCTATAGAACACTTTAAACGACAGACCTTGGATTTCAAAAAAACCTCTGAGCATATACAACAAGCTTTTTGCCATACATTAACATTTTTGAAATGTATAACCACTCTGAGAACTAACTCCTTATTTACCTTTTACAAATGAAGGTTGTGGAATTTGAAGAAAACTATTTCATGACCCAAGTTCTCTATTTTTATGTCAAGGTTATAGGTTCACCATGTCATTTGAACATATCTTCCTCTGGTCTTACATAAAACAGCCTATCCAGAAAAAAAAAAACTTCATTTATATTTGACTGGAATTCCAAGTAGGATAGAACAAGATTGTGATCCCTTCAATGTGAAATTTATAAAAGGCACTGAAAAAAGAGATACTGAAGTCCCTGTGTCATAATTCACATGCTCATATGTAAGGTCACTTCACTTTTGCCAGGCTGCTTATTTGGGATCAAATGTCTTAAAATGGGAATAGTTTTTAATGGGTGAAGAGGAGCTAAAAGTAATTTATTTGCAGCAAGCAAGACCCAGAAGTACAGCTTAGGATGTATTACTCTCTTTATTCATGGTTCCATTGTAATATGTAGTTGTTCTATTACTGGGGACAGGGAAGGAGTATTGGAGAACATTGCATTCCTGAAACAAACTACATTCCAATAATTTTTTAGAAATGCTGCACATGAAGAATACTTGCACTGACAAATACTTTCTATATAATAATTACAGAATTTAACTTTCAGTGGCCAACTATTTTAGAAAATCTACTTACTATTTACATCTATGTATAAATACAGGTACACAGTAGAGTTCCTCCAAAAGAAAAACCCTATAGTCACAAGGATGCCCCACAGGAGGAAATGAGAGTTGCCCTCCTTGAGTAATGGGCTGATAACAGCCGATTATTCTTACCTAGAACCTATGTTCTAGGTAAGAATAGTTAGAATTTGGACCCCTAGTGCTTTTAAAGAATTTTCTAGGGCCATCTCTCCACTTGTAGAATGAATCTACATTAGTATGAGAACTGATGTCCAACTTGAAGATCATGAAAGTATTTCTAACTCTGAATTCCAACTACTGTAGAATATTAAATATTATAAATAACTTTAAATCAAAGACTTGAAAACTTTGTATTGAAACATATCATTTTATGGAAATAATATGTTAATATTTCATATGTGAAGATCCCATGTAGAAATATTTTTTACATGCTGAAAATACATGGTCCTATTTCCAGCATGAGAATTCCAATTTTAAAATTTATCAAAAATGGGCCCTTTACTACCAATTAATTCTAGTTTTTCTTTATGGGAAAATAAAGGTATTATATTTCAAACATAGGACAGAGAAGCTATGGAACTTCCTTTTTCTGAAGCACTTTTATTTATACCATTACTTCTCTTACTTGGTTTTGTACATACAATCATGCTAGGCTACTTCATTCTAAATCCTTTTTTTCTTATAATTGCTTTTTAGATTATTCTAAATTTATGTCTCCAGTCCCAGACTATAAACTCACACCTCTCCTATTTTTGATTCTTTATTTCTATTCAGCTGTGTTAAACTATAACAGTACTGAATTTCTATAGCACATATAGAAATTCAGTACTGTTATTTTTAAAACTGCAATACAATACCTAAGAGAGTTAGTACCAAAGATTGTACAAAAATTTAATGATTGCTGCCATGTTCTTTTATTTTTGTATTTCTTTGAAATTATTTTTATGATATTTAATATCTAGAGGTGTATATTTTTCTTTAAAATTTTTGGTTGACATTAACTGGAATTTTTATCTATTATTTTTTATTAATATTGACATCTTAGATGTTTTCCAGTGACATTTGGATTTTTATTATTTACAATTCTGTTATTACACATTCATCAATGAAAATGTTTAGATTTTTAGCATGACACTTTTGGTTCTAGTAATTTAAGACTTTGAGCTGGTATTAACTTATTTCTTATAAAAACCCATTATAGATTATCTTTTCAAGTGACATTTGCCACTAAATGGCACTAATTAAACCAGAATTTTATTCCTGCCATGTATAATTTCAGGTTTTAATTTTTTTGCTGATTTTTTATTCATTGTAGAAATTTCTTGATCTGCGACATTATAATATAGAATGAAAAGCTAAGTAAAGATTGATTTTATATGTCCTCTTCTCCACTTCTGTTTTACAAAGTCAGTGTTCATCTTTGCATATTCTAAAATAGAATAGAATATGCAATGTTTTTATTTTCTCTTTAAAGTTCTGCACTATATCCTGTACAAATATCTAAATATAAAACAAAACTACTACTAATTTCTCTTTTTTTTTTTTGCCTTATTAATATCTAGATGCCACCTAGTGGCAAAGATAAAAAAACATTTAAATGTGAAATCATAATGGCTGTGTCTGTGTTATATTTACAGTTACATTTTGGGGGGAATAAGTATACATTATTACATGTGAAAGTCTATTATGATTGTAGAGGCACAAAGAACTACAGTAAGATAATTACTTATTTATGTGAATGTGTTGATATACAGCTCTCTGTTTAAAATACAGATTTTAATAACCCACAGGCCTGAGTCATAAATATAAACCGTCCCCCTCCAAAGTCCTTGGATGTCTTTGGATTATACTATTAATTATATTTTATCTTAATGCAAACCTACAATATTTTGAGTTCCTCTTGCCATTAATACCTCTATCCACATGGACAATATATTTAATTTGCTTTTACTAGTGACAGTACAGAAGAAAATTTGCAAATTTGCAAATTTGCAAATTTGTGATTTATGTTCTTAAATTTTAAATTTAAATTTTAAATTCAAATTGCTACACTAAATAATACTTAATACTGTAATCTTGAGAAACAAAAATGAGAGTGTGTATTCATTGGCCTCCATTTAAGAACAGGAGATGTGATAGCTCTGGGACTTAAACATCATTTAATTTATTAATGCCCAAAGTCATTAATTAGAGCAACAATTTATTAGGGAAAGAAACAAACCTGCTTTTTGTGGGTCTGGGATCTAGAGAATAATTAATATTTCAATTACTGTCCTATTTCCAGATCTTTCCAGCTGCTCACCCACTAAAAATGCAAAAAACATTGGTAAAGATGGGCTCCTCCTTAACTTGAGAGGCAATTTCTGCATTTACAATTTTCTTAGTAATGCTTTCATCATAACACCTCTAGAAAGAACAGTTACTCCTACTTTGTACTTACTTAACACTTCAATTTATTGATACTGTCATTATCCTTTTAAAATTATAGTTGTCTCTGATTCTTTTCTGCCTAGAAAAGTCTACAAAGAACAGTTCATCTATTTCCTGTACTGAGTCATGTACACAAGAAACTCTCCATAATTTCAATATTACAAAAAATGAATAAAACAAAATCTATGATATAAATGGTGGTTGTTAGGTAGTTCTAACAGGATCCTATGGACTTATCCCTGTGTACTTTTCTGAAGGAATGGTTAGGGAAGAGTAGGAATGTCATATCTCTCGCACTCTGTAGACAGGTCCTTGTGGATAGACAGCTCATCATAGAACTGAACACAGATGTCTTTAATATGACAAGCAGCTCTTGTCTCCACAGTCTTGGTCATTTCGAGGCCACAGACTCACCTTGAGTATGAACAATCTCACATAAATCTTCCTCCTTTCAAAGTATATCTTTAGCATTATTGTCTTCTACAATTTAAAGAAACTTGTTTACAAATTTGAAACAAGCAACATTTTTTTTTTCCTGTGTTCACCTTTGCTGAACTATTACCCAGGTTCTATACTAAGCACATGTTCTTAGGTAAGCAGTGAAAAAATGGAGACCTAGAGCTCTCCAGTAACTTGCTCAAGGTCCAGAACTAACAGATGTTGGGTTGGAAACCACACAGTATGTTTCTTTGTAATATGAACTCTGTTCTGAAATGGAGAGAGTAGGATGAAATCTTTAATTTGTTCAGATTATTCAAGGACATAATTCTGAGTCTATAATCAAAGCCAAGCTTTCATAGTCATCCTGCAAATTGAAATAGTGTCCTGAGAAAAGTGCTGAGCCTCAGTAATTGATGTCCAAAAGTTTTGTGATAAATTATTTATAAATGAGATATTTTAAACAGAGAAAAGAGGCAGAGTGCAAAACTGATAGAATATTCATATCATTAGAACAATTTTCTGGCCCCTTTCCTTCTAAGGTAAAAGTATAAAGGTGAGTCTGATTATAGAAATCTTCATTCTCTAAATTAGCAATCAGCTGTCATTAATGGAAGTGGACAGAGACAGAAAATTGCTGTATACTGATAGGAGAGGATCCTAAGGGCTGCCACATGGCAATCACAGTTAGAAAAAAATATGTAGTATAAAGAGTAGAAGTCATAGCTACTATTCAGAGGTTGGTAGGAAAATGATGATATAGTGAAGAGTCAAAATGTAAAAGCTGAGAACGTTCTGACATAAGGAAAGCATCAAGAGTTACAGAGTAGGAAAATATAGATGACTTAAGAATTTAACTAGTAATAACTTTAAGTAAAATATATCTCCAGTATCCCCAAGGTTACCTTCATTCCCAGCAATAAGTACTGGTAAAAGACAGTTTAAATTTGGTCAGGTCTTTTTTTTTTTTTTTTTAATAGTTTAGTTATTTATTGGTGCCAGGGATTGAACCTGGGGACTCTTAACCACTGAGCCACATCCCCAGTCCTTTTTGTTTGTTTGTTTGTTTCTGATACTGGGTCTTGCTGAGTTGCTCTGGGCCTTGTTAAATTGGGCCTTGTTAAATTGGGCCTCCTTAAATTGCTGAGGCTGAATCTGAAATCTTGATCCTCCCACCTCTAGAGCCACTGGGGATTACAGTTGTATACCACTGGGCCCAGCTACAAATTTTGCAGATCTTAATGTCCTTCTTTCTTCTTCTCATGGCCAATGGCATACCATTCTTTTAGTTCAAGATTTTGTTTATTTTGTCACTATTAGATTTAATACTTATCAAGAGAAATTAATGTCCAATGAGTATATTAGCATGAATTAATTTATCTAGTTTAACAAAGTTGTTGACCTAGAGGTAAAGAGGGACTTTAAGAAACAGAATAAGATAAAATTTGATAGAGATCTGGGTGTGAGGCCACACTGCTGACAGGAGTTGGAGAAAGGAAATGGCTGGTCCAGGCAATGGACAGGAGGGACATCCTCTCAGATTCTGGTAAACTCTTTGAGCCAATGTATTTCAGAATGCAGAGTTTTTCAGCATTTAGGGCGTTCATTA